ACTACACCACGAAACCATTCGCGTTCACATTGGCAATCAATAATTACGTTACCAGCAAAGGACCATATTAGATGGAGATCACTTTATCAGTGGTGTTATGCTTTTCCCCACGCGTTTTGTTTAGTGTTGGAGAAATCATTTTTTTTTCTGTGTGTTTTTATATCTCCAACTCCAAACATCAAATTGGATCCAACATGACTCACGCCTGAGCTACCCAATTTTTTTTTAGCTTGTTAGAATGGGAACGAAACGAGTTAGATGACAATAAAAATTAATTCAGCAAGTTGAGTAGTATCATATTCAGAACAAAAAAAAGGTTGAGAAAGAAAAACATTCTAATAATTATACTAGATGAATCCTGATTAAAAAATCAATTTTATAGTGAAATAAATTTTGCAAACGGCAAATTTAACATTAATGGCTTCGCACGGACTTTAACCGGAGACCTTCAGTGTGTTAGACTGACGTGATAACCAACTACACCATGAAACCATTCGCGTTCACATTGGCAATAAATAATTACGTTACAGCAAAGGACCATATTAGATGGAGATCACTTTATCAGTGGTGTTATGCTTTTCCCCATGCGTTTTGTTTAGTGTTGGAGAAATCATTTTTTTTCTGTGTGTTTTTATATCTCCAACTCCAAACATCAAATTGGATCCAACATGACTCACGCCTGAGCTACCCTATTTTTTTTTTTTAACTTGTGAGAATGGGAACGAAACGAGTTAAATGAGAATAAAAATTAATTCAGCAAGTTGAGTAGAATCATATTCAGAACAAAAAAAAAAGGGATGAGAAACAAAAACTTTCGAATAATTATACTAGATGAATCCTGATTAAAAAAACAATTTTTTAGTGAAATAAATTTTGCAAATGGCAAATTTAACATTATTGGCTTCGCCCGGACTTTAACAGGAGACCTTTTGTGTGTTAGACTGACGTGATTACCAACTACACCATGAAACCATTCGCATTCACATTCTGTCTCAAACTCCAAACATCAAAATGGGTCCAACATGACTCAGGCCTGAGCTACTCTATTTTATTTTTAGCTTGTGAGAATGGGAACGAAACGAGATAGATGAGAAAAAAATTTGGTTCAGCTAGTTGAGTAGTATCATATTCAGATAAAAAAAAAAAGATGAGATAGAAAAACTTTCAAATAATCTGATTAGATGAATCTTGATAAAAAAAAAAACAATTTTTTAGTGAAATAAATTTTGCAAACGGCAAATTTAACATTATTGGCTTCGCCCAGAGTTTAACAGGAGACCTTTAGTGTGTTAGACTGACGTGATTACCAACTGCACCACGAAACCATTCGCGTTCACATTTGCAATCAATAATTACGTTACCAGCAAATGACCATATTAGATGGAGATCACTTTATCAGTGGTGTGATGCTTTTCCCCATGCGTTTTGTTTAGTGTTAAAGAAATAAATTTTTTTTTTCTGTGTCTTTTTCTGTCTCAAACTCCAAACATCAAAATGGGTCCAACATAACTCAGGGTCCAACATAACTCAGGCCTGAGCTACTCTATTGGCTTCGCCCGGACTTGAACCGGAGACCTTCAGTGAAATCATTTTTTTTCTGTGTGTTTATATATCTCCAACTCCAAACATAAAAATGGGTCCAACATGACTCAGGCCTGAGCTACTCTATTTTATTTTTAGCTTGTGAGAATGGGAACGAAACGAGATAGATGAGAACAAAAATTGTTTCAGCTAGTTGAGTAGTATCATATTCAGTTAAAAAAAAAAAAGATGAGATAGAAAAACTTTCTAATAATCTGATTAGATGAATCTTGATTAAAAAAATCAATTTTTTAGTGCAATAAATTTTGCAAATTGGAAATTTTACTTTATTAGCTTCGCCCAGACTTGAACCGGAGACCTTCAGTGTAATAGAAGGACGTGATAACCAACTACACCACGAAACCATTCGCATTCACATTGGCAAATAATAATTACGTTACCAGCAAAGGACCATATTAGATGGAGATCACTTTATCAGTGGTGTGATGCTTTTCCCCATGCGTTTTGTTTAGTGTTGGAGAAATCATTTTTTTTCTGTGTTTTTATATCTCCAACTCCAAACATCAAATTAGAACCAACATGACTCACGCCTGAGCTACCCTTTTTTTTTTAGCTTGTGAGAATGGGAACGAAACGAGTTAGATGAGAATAAAAATTAATTCAGCAAGTTGAGTAGTATCATATTCAGAACAAAAAAAAAAGGTTGAGAAAGAAAAACATTCTAATAATTATACTAGATGAATCCTGATTAAAAAATCAATTTTTTTGTGAAATAAATTTTGCAAACGGCAATTTTAACATTATTGGTTTCGCCCGGACTGTAACAGGAGACCTTCAATGTGTTAGACTGACGTGATTACCAACTACACCACGAAACCATTCCCGTTCACATTTGCAATCAATAATTACGTTGCCAGCAAAGGACCATATTAGATGGAGATCACTTTATCAGTGGTGTGTTGTTTTTCCCAATGCGTTTTGTTTAGTGTTAAAGAAATCAATTTTTTTTTACTGTGTCTTTTTCTGTCTCAAACTCCAAACATCAAAATGGGTCCAACATGACTCAGGCCTGAGCAACTCTATTTTATTTTTAGCTTGTGAGAATGGGAACGAAACGAGATAGATGAGAACAAAAATTGTTTCAGCTAGTTGAGTAGTATCATATTCAGATAAAAAAAAAAAAACATATGAGATAGAAAAACTTTCTAATAATCTGATTAGATGAATCTTGATAAAAGAAAACAATTTTTTAGTGAAATAAATTTTGCAAACGGCAAATTTAACATTATTGGCTTCGCCCGGAGTTTAACAGGAGACCTTTAGTGTGTTAGACTGACGTGATAACCAACTGCACCACGAAACCATTCTCATTCACATTTCCAATCAATAATTACGTTACCAGCAAATGACCATATTAGATGGAGATCACTTTATCAGTGGTGTGATGCTTTTCCCCATGCGTTTTGTTTAGTGTTAAAGAAATCAATTTTTTTTTTCTGTGTCTTTTTCTGTCTCAAACTCCAAACATCAAAATGGGTCCAACATAACTCAGGCCTGAACTACTCTATTGGCTTCGCCCGGACTTGAACCGGAGACCTTCAGTGAAATCATTTTTTTTTCTGTGTGTTTATATATCTCCAACTCCAAACATAAAAATGGGTCCAACATGACTCAGGCCTGAGCTACTCTATTTTATTTTTAGCTTGTGAGAATGGGAACGAAACGAGATAGATGAGAACAAAAATTGTTTCAGCTAGTTGAGTAGTATCATATTCGGTTAAAAAAAAAAAAAGATGAGATAGAAAAACTTTCTAATAATCTGATTAGATGAATCTTGATTAAAAAAATCAATTTTTTAGTGCAATAAATTTTGCAAATTGGAAATTTTACTTTATTGGCTTCACCCGGACTTGAACCGGAGACCTTCAGTGTAATAGAAGGACATGATACCAACTACACCACGAAACCATTCGCATTCACATTGGCAAATAATAATTACGTTACCAGCAAAGGATCATATTAGATGGAGATCACTTTATCAGTGGTGTGATGCTTTTCCCCATGCGTTTTGTTTAGTGTTGGAGAAATCATTTTTTTTCTGTGTTTTTATATCTCCAACTCCAAACATCAAATTGGATCCAACATGACTCACGCCTGAGCTACCCTTTTTTTTTAGCTTGTGAGAATGGGAACGAAACGAGTTAGATGAGAATAAAAATTAATTCAGCAAGTTGAGTAGTATCATATTCAGAACAAAAAAAAAAGGTTGAGAAAGAAAAACATTCTAATAATTATACTAGATGAATCCTGATTAAAAAATCAATTTTTTTGTGAAATAAATTTTGCAAACGGCAATTTTAACATTATTGGTTTCGCCCGGACTTTAACAGGAGACCTTCAATGTGTTAGACTGACGTGATTACCAACTACACCACGAAACCATTCCCGTTCACATTTGCAATCAATAATTACGTTGCCAGCAAAGGACCATATTAGATGGAGATCACTTTATCAGTGGTGTGTTGTTTTTCCCAATGCGTTTTGTTTAGTGTTAAAGAAATCAATTTTTTTTTACTGTGTCTTTTTCTGTCTCAAACTCCAAACATCAAAATGGGTCCAACATGACTCAGGCCTGAGCAACTCTATTTTATTTTTAGCTTGTGAGAATGGGAACGAAACGAGATAGATGAGAACAAAAATTGTTTCAGCTAGTTGAGTAGTATCATATTCAGATAAAAAAAAAAAAAACATATGAGATAGAAAAACTTTCTAATAATCTGATTAGATGAATCTTGATAAAAGAAAACAATTTTTTAGTGAAATAAATTTTGCAAACGGCAAATTTAACATTATTGGCTTCGCCCGGAGTTTAACAGGAGACCTTTAGTGTGTTAGACTGACGTGATAACCAACTGCACCACGAAACCATTCTCATTCACATTTCCAATCAATAATTACGTTACCAGCAAATGACCATATTAGATGGAGATCACTTTATCAGTGGTGTGATGCTTTTCCCCATGCGTTTTGTTTAGTGTTAAAGAAATCAATTTTTTTTTTCTGTGTCTTTTTCTGTCTCAAACTCCAAACATCAAAATGGGTCCAACATAACTCAGGCCTGAGCTACTCTATTGGCTCCGCCCGGACTTGAACCGGAGACCTTCAGTGAAATCATTTTTTTTTCTGTGTGTTTATATATCTCCAACTCCAAACATAAAAATGGGTCCAACATGACTCAGGCCTGAGCTACTCTATTTTATTTTTAGCTTGTGAGAATGGGAACGAAACGAGATAGATGAGAACAAAAATTGTTTCAGCTAGTTGAGTAGTATCATATTCGGTTAAAAAAAAAAAAAATGAGATAGAAAAACTTTCTAATAATCTGATTAGATGAATCTTGATTAAAAAAATCAATTTTTTAGTGCAATAAATTTTGCAAATTGGAAATTTTACTTTATTGGCTTCACCCGGACTTGAACCGGAGACCTTCAGTGTAATAGAAGGACATGATACCAACTACACCACGAAACCATTCGCATTCACATTGGCAAATAATAATTACGTTACCAGCAAATGACCATATTAGATGGAGATCACTTTATCAGTGGTGTGATGCTTTTCCCCATGCGTTTTGTTTAGTGTTGGAGAAATCATTTTTTTTCTGTGTTTTTATATCTCCAACTCCAAACATCAAATTGGATCCAACATGACTCACGCCTGAGCTACCCTTTTTTTTTAGCTTGTGAGAATGGGAACGAAACGAGTTAGATGAGAATAAAAATTAATTCAGCAAGTTGAGTAGTATCATATTCAGAACAAAAAAAAAAAAGGTTGAGAAAGAAAAACATTCTAATAATTATACTAGATGAATCCTGATTAAAAAATCAATTTTTTTGTGAAATAAATTTTGCAAACGGCAATTTTAACATTATTGGTTTCGCCCGGACTTTAACAGGAGACCTTCAATGTGTTAGACTGACGTGATTACCAACTACACCACGAAACCATTCCCGTTCACAATTGCAATCAATAATTACGTTACCAGCAAAGGACCATATTAGATGGAGATCACTTTATCAGTGGTGTGTTGTTTTTCCCAATGCGTTTTGTTTAGTGTTAAAGAAATCAATTTTTTTTTACTGTGTCTTTTTCTGTCTCAAACTCCAAACATCAAAATGGGTCCAACATGACTCAGGCCTGAGCAACTCTATTTTATTTTTAGCTTGTGAGAATGGGAACGAAACGAGATAGATGAGAACAAAAATTGTTTCAGCTAGTTGAGTAGTATCATATTCAGATAAAAAAAAAACAGATGAGATAGCAAAACTTTCTAATAATCTGATTAGATGAATCTTTATAAAAGAAAACAATTTTTTAGTGAAATAAATTTTGCAAACGGCAAATTTAACATTATTGGCTTCGCCCGGAGTTTAATAGGAGACCTTTAGTGTGTTAGACTGACGTGATAACCAACTGCACCACGAAACCATTCTCGTTCACATTTCCAATCAATAATTACGTTACCAGCAAATGACCATATTAGATGGAGATCACTTTATCAGTTGTGTGATGCTTTTCCCCATGCGTTTTGTTTAGTGTTAAAGAAATCAATTTTTTTTTCTGTGTCTTTTTCTGTCTCAAACTCCAAACATCAAAATGGGTCCAACATGACTCAGGCCTGAGCTACTCTATTGGCTTCGCCCGGACTTGAACCAGAGACCTTCAGTGAAATCATTTTTTTTTGTGTGTGTTTATATATCTCCAACTCCAAACATCAAAATGGGTCCAACATGACTCAGGCCTGAGCTACACTATTTTATTTTTAGCTTGTGAGAATGGGAACGAAACTAGATAGATGAGAACAAAAATCGTTTCAGCTAGTTGAGTAGTATCATATTCAGATAAAAAAAAAAAGATGAGATAGAAAAACTTTCTAATAATCTGATTAGATGAATCTTGATTAAAAAAATCAATTTTTTAGTGAAATAAATTTTGCAAATTGCAAATTTTACTTTATTGGCTTCGCCCGGACTTGAACCGGAGACCTTCAGTGTGTTAGACTGACGTGATAACCAACTACACCACGAAACCATTCGCATTCACATTTGCAATCAATAATTACGTTGACAGCAAAGGACCATATTAGATGGAGATCACTTTATCAGTGGTGTGATGTTTTTCCCCATGCGTTTTGTTTAGTGTTAAAGAAATCAATTTTTTTTTACTGTGTCTTTTTCTGTCTCAAACTCCAAACATCAAAATGGGTCCAACATGACTCAGGCCTGAGCTACTCTATTTTATTTTTAGCTTGTGAGAATGGGAACGAAACGAGATAGATGAGAACAAAAATTGTTTCAGCTAGTTGAGTAGTATCATATTCAGATAAAAAAAAAAAAACAGATGAGATAGAAAAACTTTCTAATTAGATGAATCTTGATTAAAAAAATCAATTTTTTAGTGGAATAAATTTTGCAAATTGCAAATTTTACTTTATTGGCTTCGCCCGGTCTTGAACCGCAGACCTTCAGTGAAATCATTTTTTTTTTCCGTGTCTTTATATATCTCAAACTCCAAACATCAAAATGGGTCCAACATGACTCAGGCCTGAGCTACTCTATTTTATTTTTAGCTTGTGAGAATGGGAAGGAAACGAGATAGATGAGAACAAAAATTGTTTCAGCTTGTTGAGTAGTATCATATTCAGATAAAAAAAAAAAGATGAGATAGAAAAACTTTCTAATAATCTGATTAGATGAATCTTGATTAAAAAAATCAATTTTTAAGTGAAATAAATTTTGCAAACGGCAATTTTAACATTATTGGCTTCGCCCGGACTTTAACAGGAGACCTTCAATGTGTTAGACTGACGTGATTACCAACTACACCACGAAACCATTCGCGTTCACATTTGCAATCAATAATTACGTTGCCAGCAAAGGACCATATTAGATGGAGATCACTTTATCAGTGGTGTGATGTTTTTCCCCATGCATTTTGTTTGGTGTTAAAGAAATCAATTTTTTTTTACTGTGTCTTTTTCTGTCTCAAACTCCAAACATCAAAATGGGTCCAACATGACTCAGGCCTGAGCTACTCTATTTTATTTTTAGCTTGTGAGAATGGGAACGAAACAAGATAGATGAGAACAAAAATTGTTTCAGCTAGTTGAGTAGTATCGTATTCAGATAAAAAAAAAAACAGATGAGATAGAAAAACTTTCTAATAATCTGATTAGATGAATCTTGATTAAAAAAATCAATTTTTTAGTTAAATAAATTTTGCAAATTGCAAATTTTACTTTATTGGCTTCGTAGACTGACGTGATAACCAACTACACCACAAAACCATTCGCCTTCACATTGGCAAATAATAATTACGTTACCAGCAAAGGACCATATTAGATGGAGATCACTTTATCAGTGGTGTGATGCTTTTCCCCATGCGTTTTGTTTAGTGTTGGAGAAATCATTTTTTTTTCTGTGTTTTTATATCTCCAACTCCAAACATCAAATTGGATCCAACATGACTCACGCCTGAGCTACCCTTTTTTTTTTAGCTTGTGAGAATGGGAACGAAACGAGTTAGATGAGAATAAAAATTAATTCAGCAAGTTGAGTAGTATCATATTCACAACAAAAAAAAAAAGGTTGAGAAAGAAAAACTTTCTAATAATTATACTAGATGAATCCTGATTAAAAAATCAATTTTTTTGTGAAATAAATTTTGCAAACGGCAATTTTAACATTATTGGCTTCGCCCGGACTTTAACAGGAGACCTTCAATGTGTTAGACTGACGTGATTACCAACTACACCACAAAACCATTCGCGTTCACATTTGCAATCAATAATTACGTTGCCAGCAAAGGACCATATTAGATGGAGATCACTTTATCAGTGGTGTGATGTTTTTCCCCATGCGTTTTGTTTAGTGTTAAAGAAATCAATTTTTTTTTTATTGTGTCTTTTTCTGTCTCAAACTCCAAACATCAAAATGGGTCCAACATGACTCAGGCCTGAGCTACTCTATTTTATTTTTAGCTTGTGAGAATGGAAACGAAACGAGATAGATGAGAACAAAAATTGTTTCAGCTAGTTGAGTAGTATCATATTCAGATAAAAAAAAACAGATGAGATAGAAAAACTTTCTAATAATCTGATTAGATGAATCTTGATTAAAAAAATCAATTTTTTAGTGAAATAAATTTTGCAAATTGCAAATTTTACTTTATTGGCTTCGTCCGGACTTGAACGGGAGACCTTCAGTGAAATCATTTTTTTTTCTGTGTGTTTATATATCTCCAACTCCAAACATCAAAATGGGTCCAACATGACTCAGGCCTGAGCTACTCTATTTTATTTTTAGCTTGTGAGAATGGGAACGAAAAGAGATAGATGAGAACAAAAATTGTTTCAGCTAGTTGAGTAGTATCATATTCAGATAAAAAAAAAAGGTGAGATAGAAAAACTTTCTAATAATCTGATTAGATGAATCTTGATTAAAAAAATCAATTTTTTAGTGAAATAAATTTTGCAAATTGCAAATTTTACTTTATTGGCTTCGCCCGGACTTGAACGGGAGACCTTCAGTGAAATCATTTTTTTTTTCTGCGTGTTTATATATCTCCAACTCCAAACATCAAAATGGGTCCAACATGACTCAGGCCTGAGCTACTCTATTTTATTTTTAGCTTGTGAGAATGGGAACGAAACGAGATAGATGAGAACAAAAATTGTTTCAGCTAGTTGAGTAGTATCATATTCAGATAAAAAAAAAATATGAGATAGAAAAACTTTCTAATAATCTGATTAGATGAATCTTGATTAAAAAAATCAATTTTTTAGTTAAATAAATTTTGCAAATTGCAAATTTTACTTTATTGGCTTCGTAGACTGACGTGATAACCAACTACACCACGAAACCATTCGCGTTCACATTGGCAAATAATAATTACGTTACCAGCAAAGGACCATATTAGATGGAGATCACTTTATCAGTGGTGTGATGCTTTTCCCCATGCGTTTTGTTTAGTGTTGGAGAAATCATTTTTTTTTCTGTGTTTTTATATCTCCAACTCCAAACATCAAATTGGATCCAACATGACTCACGCCTGAGCTACCCTTTTTTTTTTTAGCTTGTGAGAATGGGAACGAAACGAGTTAGATGAGAATAAAAATTAATTCAGCAAGTTGAGTAGTATCATATTCACAACAAAAAAAAAAAAGGTTGAGAAAGAAAAACTTTCTAATAATTATACTAGATGAATCCTGATTAAAAAATCAATTTTTTTGTGAAATAAATTTTGCAAACGGCAATTTTAACATTATTGGCTTCGCCCGGACTTTAACAGGAGACCTTCAATGTTTTAGACTGACGTGATTACCAACTACACCACGAAACCATTCGCGTTCACATTTGCAATCAATAATTACGTTGCCAGCAAAGGACCATATTAGATGGAGATCACTTTATCAGTGGTGTGATGTTTTTCCCCATGCGTTTTGTTTAGTGTTAAAGAAATCAATTTTTTTT